AGAAGAGAGAGAAGAAAAGAGAGAGGAGGAGAAAGAGGAGAAAGGGATGACCCCGGACCTACGTCTCCTAAGTGGTTTCGCCCCTGGGGTGTCATTATCATTGCATGTACGTGTCACGTGTGTGCATTCGGGTTCGTGGCTCCTATCTGGTTTTCCATTGTACCTATGTAACCCCAATATATACCCTACATTTCCATTTTTGGGATGCTTTAGGGGGGTCTGGGTTAAAGGGGCGCACCAGATATGAAAAGGTCGCCAGCTGCCAGCAGGCCACCTCGCGAACTTGAGCTGGACTGGGGAAGCTATCAGTTTTGGGTTTAGGGCTTTAGGGTGTAGGATGTAGGCTTTAGGGTTTCGGGCTTAGGATTTAGGATTGAGGGTTTGGGGTTTGTGAGCACGCCAAGGTTCATGGATGGTAAGTCGGGTTACAAGTAGCCTACAATGGCTTAACACAGATTTCAAGTTATCTAAATGTATGCATTTCTGACAGTAAACACTGCAACAATCTAACCCCGGCATGCCTGAGTGAGGTCTGAAAGGATTGAGCTACAAGGACACAATATGGGGTTTCCCCAAGATAGGGGTACCTTTGTGTGGGTCCCTATTATAACAAGGATTACAGTGCCTGAGGGTCTATATTGGCTTCCCCGTATCCCGTATGTAGGGAAACTACCATATTCCATCGGCTGCAAACTGCGTTTTTGAGGAAAAGGTGTGCAACCCACGCTAACCCGCATGCCCGTCTGACTGAACATGTCTAGCTCTAACCGCGGCTACAGCGCTCTTGACTGAATCCTAACCCAAAATTCTGAAACTTCAATGCAGGCCCTGATCTCCATTGACTGCCTCCTTCTTGGCTTCCTTGGCCTGGAGGATTTGCTGATGCTGGTCTTTCTGCTCCTGAGCCTGGCACAATGCGCGTGGTTTGGGTGCAGCATGTGGTCTCGAAGCAAGTTGCTGGCGGGCCTGTGCATTTACAGAAGGTCACTGAAGAAGCTGCACGTGCATGTTCAAGCTCGTCATCCAGGAGTTCATGTGCTCCGGTGAACCTGTCATACCTTGATGCTCCAATCACCGCAAGGTCGCTGCAGGAAGTATGAAGCCCTCAGAGTCCTCAGGTTCCAAAGTCTGCGTCCTAGCGTCCTAGTGACTCAAGAACCCTCACATCTCCCCAGCCACAGCCTCCGATTGCATCCTCGCGGCATGCGCTTGGTACTTCTCTCTCTCCTCTGCACAAGGCAGATTCTCCGCAAGCTAGAACCCTGAAAACCGCAGCTTGATAAGCCATAGAATTGCACCTGAAGGCTGCAGATGGCTGCAGCCCTTCCCGACAAGCGTGGTTTTCAACGGAACTCGGAATGCTGATGCGTGCAGGAAGATATCATTTGAGCTCGTGCCCCGTGCACGCTACATCCTTTGCAATCCTCCGAGTTCAGGAACCTCGCAACGCAGCTGTTCACTGATGCGAACCCGTCCGTCAAGTTGAAGCCAAACTGGGATTCAAGTGGAGCCAACGTCTCTGGAAGACACAGGAAAGACTGAGGCTGAGGATGTTGAGACTCACTGCGTAACACGCCCGGCCGGTCCTGGACCATCCGCCAGTTCACGAATACCGTCTGGAGGGGCTCCTGCCAGATGAAAGGCCGTGATATGGGTGGCAAACTGTCCAAAGAAACAGTGAACCCGAATGCTTCAATTCGTAGCTCGGCTCTTGTCGCACACTAAACGCCTAAAGCCTCAAATACAATCAGCCACAGGATGGTTCTTGTCGTGAGCTGTGCTGCATCATCAGGGCAGGTTAGGTTTAGGGTATAAGCTTGCGGGCTTCGCAAGGTTTAGAGCTTATAGTGTTCAAGGTTAACAGGTGAAGTTGGATGCCAGCTGCTGCATCCAATACGAAGGTTTGCAAGGTGGATTCTGTGGGGGCATGGATATGCTGAAGTCTTACACGGGGAATTTTCTCAATTGCACGAGGAAGTTCTGTTGATTGCCGGGGAGATGTTATCAAATGCTCGCGGCGAGCACTAATTCCAAAAATCCAAATTGTGACGGACGTTAATGGTGTAGCACGACAGTTTTGTATGTTCAAAATACTTATATTCCCTGCTCACCAATAGAGCTCACGGCGCCCTCCCGTCCTTCGCTCGTCTCCGGATGAGTAACTCTGCCGAGTGAACGGCAAACCGCGACAGCTGTTCCCTGGCGTTCTCATTGAAGCTTTGGGTGTTGAGATTTGTGGGATGAAGACTGCTGGGATCTGGCTTGCAATCCTCAAACTGTGAGCATGTTCACGATGCAGCACAACTCGATGAAGGACAGCTGAAACGATCACGGACACAAATCTCCTTCGTTCTCCGCCAACTCAAGCTTTTTTAAAACAGTGTGGTGAAAAATCCTCCGTTGGTCTAGCATGTAGGTGCATCAGTCTTGGGGCTGTTCAACTCTTTTCTAGTCCATTTCTTTCCAAAATCCGAATCCTAAACCAACTCTAAACAATGAACCTCAATCACCAAAATCCTGGAGCCACCCCTGGGGCTCCCGCACAGTCTTCTTCTCTTTTTGCTTGACCTCCTTGGCAGCCTCAAACAGGACAACGGTTTTGGTATAGGGCTCAGGCAGTTAAGGCACGCACCAGACTTCGCACTTGCGGATCGGTTTTGAATTGGGTTTTAACTATAGTTGACCTAGGTCACTTAGAAGAATCGACTCTCAAACCCCTACTCCTAGCAATGATACAGAACATGGAATACCATACTAGCTGGCACTTTTCAGCTTCTTTGCCATTTTTACTTTCGTTGGACAAATGGAAACCACCTTTTCCACAAGTACTTGCTGGACGCGCATAACGTTGGAGGCTTCTACTTGAGCGCCTGCCCTGTTCAGATCGCTGCCCCGTGAAGCACAGCATGATTTGCAGTTAAGTGTTGACGCCTACGTCCAGGAAGTAAATCGGGGCACCTTCGACCATGCGATCCAACCAAATTGGACACAAAGTCACTCCGGTTTATGATTCAGGGTTCAGGATGCTTTGAATTTGCCACATGCCTCCTGGCGGATCTGGTCCATTTCGCCATGGTAGGATCGGTGGCTGCGCATGTTCTTCACGACAGCTTGCCACTGCCTTCAGCTACGTGTCCGGTTGTTTCTGAAATCTGTTTGTCGTTGGAGTTTGGAGTACACCATGTTCAAGAATGGTTCTTCATCCAGTCTAGTTACAATCAGGCTTGAGTAAATAGAATATGGCTTTGGGTATATTACAATAAGATCCTCATATACCCTGAGCCCTAAACCCTATAGTGGCTTCCATTTTATTTTCCATCATCCCTATATTTCCATAAGATGCCCATATTATACCCTAAACCCTAAATCTACTTAAGGGGGACTATACTCCCTAACCCTAAAGTTACTGAAGGGGGACTACAATCCCTAAACCCTAAATCTACTTAAGGGGGACTATAATCCCTAAACCCCACACGCTAAATCTACTTAAGGGGGACGATAATCCCTAAACCCTACATCTACTTAAGGGGGACTATAATCCCTAAACCCTAAATCTACGTACGGGGGGGCCATAATCCATAAACCCTGAACCCTGAACCTACTTAACGGGGACTATAAGTACTTGAGCAACAAACTGTTGACAATACCTCGCAATGGGTAGACGTGACATTGCCGGTCCAGAGAAGGGTTTAAGTTCTAGGGTTTAAGGTTTAGGTACATTCTGTGAGATCGCCGCTTTCACACACCGTCTTTTTGACCTGTTCCTACCTATCATTCTGGCTTGTACGTTGCGATGTGGAAGCGGCAGCCCCCTGCATCATGTAGCCCAGTCAACCTCACAATCCCCTTATCCTCCCTGGTCTCAAAGGCAATATGACTTCCACCATAAACCAGTCAGTATCTCGACAAACCTAGAAACTCTCCCAGTATAACCCCCATGCAAAGAATGTAGTGCAAACGTAACAACTTGAAAATGTAGGATCCATGTATCAGCCCTAGAAATCTATGTGTTGCGTGCGAAGGCCTCTTTAAACCTTGTAATATCACTACTTGGCCCCTTCATGATGCATTCAGATTGTCGCCGATTCAGATCGCTATGCCTTGTCCCAATGTGGACACATCCAAAGAGCCATACTAATTTGTTAGATACTCTGATGCAAGAAACCCACATCTATCTATGGTATCTGCTCGAAACCCAAAACCGTTCCTAAATGTAGATGCGGAACAAAGCTTAATTATCTTCTATTTCTGTGCTTGGACACTTAGGGTGCAGGCTTACACCTGCAATCAGAATCCTTAGGCACATTAGATCCCAAGAAGAATCCGGGACCACGGCAACAGGATATCTCGCACGTAGGACTCGCGACCTCAGCGCTGCGAAGCATCTAAACAGCTGCAGCTGTATGAGGGGTTCTATAGCTTTATATAGCGGTATGTGAGACTTATATTGGGATAATGGAAAAAGAACATGGAAGCTACTATCTATAGCATGGCTCGCTGACTGGCTGATGCACACTTGACTGCTTGCAGGACATTGAAATCGGCTTATCCAAGCCTAGCTCTGCAAAAGGGCTTTCAGGGAATGATCTGTAGGGTTCAGGGGTTAGGGTTTATGGGATCCTTCAGGCTTCTGCATCAATCCTCAGGCCTCAAGCCAAGCCGGAAAGTTCCAACCTGCTTCCCTCCGAGTCCCCTGCCAACTTGCTCCAGCTCTGAATGCATGCGTTCCCCCAAGGCATTGTGCCTTGGCAGAGAACCAAGCCAAATCTGGGGCTCGTTCTGTCCATAGCTGGTTGCTCTTCAGGAACTTAATTCAAGTTACTATGTCGGGGAACCCTATTTTTTTACAATATATACACCCTCTGTGGGAACTCAATGTAAATTCTCTAATCTCAGAGGTTTCCTGGGCCGTATCTACTACTGTCGGGCTCTGGAGTCTACGTCTGAGTGTTTAACGGGATTTAAACCTTTACTTGGTGAATGTTCGTGACTGGCCTTTGAAGCTGCAACTCAGGGATTTCAGTGACGCCGTTTATTGCCAGGATGGTAAGCAACACACGTTAAACGCATGCAGGTCATGAAATGCGAATGTCATGCACTATTCATGACACCTCTTAGGATGTAAGCGCCCAGCTCTTCTGCAGCCTCCCGCCGGATCTGTTGTATTTCCTGACCGGGAACAATCGGGAGTTTGCCCAATGCCTTTTGCATCTGAAAGGAGGGCAAACTGATCTAAGGACTGATACTGCAATAGGAACCCGAACAAAAGGACCGGCGCTATACTAACTACGAGGACTAACTGGAAAGAGATCGTGAATTCTGAAGCCGCCCAGTGATAGCAGAATCTGCCTGGACGGAACCCTGGATCTGGGCGGTAGGGTAGTAATTAAAGGGCATGCAGGGCTTGTAGCCTGGAACCCGTGTGCCCGGGGCTGAGAAGAATTTTGACGCCTAAGCCTACATGCAGAGTAACCATCGCAGCCTGCAGCCCTGAAACTCAGAAGCGACCCATCAAGACTACAATCCTTCAACCAGGGGAATCATTAAACAAGCTTCAGGGAGGGTAGGACAAAGCTCTTGGATCTCGGAGCTAAAGCCGTCTTCGCCCTTCCTGCCTTGCGGTGTGCACGATCCTTCTTGTCATGCGCCTTCTCGAGACGATGGAGGAGCACCTGACCCAAGGCAAGCTCCATCTCAGCCCCTCAACCTGCCAAACCTCTCATAAACCCCAAATCCCCCAAAATCCGGATAACCCCAAATTTCGTCTCGACAGGTGCCTGGTGAAGCCAAGCCAGCCAGATGTCCTGACATGCTCCGTTTCGGTTCTGACGTCCATGTGATTTAAGGTTGTTTGGTTTAGTAGTCGACGGTTGAGGGCTTCGCGTTCAAGAGTTGAGGGATACGAG